CTTGTTATCCTAACCCCATCACCAAAAACACAAAATAACACAAAAGCCACTCGCTAGGTAGGCTCTCCCCCCTCCATCGCTCACCCCCGCTCCCACTCCCATCCCCCTCATCCAACAACCCGTCAACCAACCCAACCCTCATCCTCGGCCTAACCACCCCCTCCCCCCCCGCCTTAACCCGTCTCAACGCCCTCCTAACCCCCTCCAACCTCCCTCTCTCCTGCACCACCATCCCCCTCGCCAAATCCCTAATCGCCCTCCTCCCCAACCTCTCATGCATCTCCCTCCACCCCGCCAACTCCCCCGCCACCGTCTGCTGCATATACCTCAGCTCCCTGCCAAGCATCTCCGCCTCCTGCTCCATCTTCCTCGCCTTCTCCTCCTTATCCTCATTCATCCTCTGCCTCGTCTCATCCAGCAGTCCCAAAGGCCATCTACTTGACCTGTTAAGCGTGTTATAGTTCCTTTCTACCTCCTTCCGAATAGCAATAATCTTTGCTATCGTCTGCGGTGGTCTCCCCAGCGCTTTGAGTATAGCTTCGATATTGCTGTACAGCGCCAGAAACGCCGAAAAAAACTGCGAAATAGGCGACGACTGCGAAGGCGCCAAGGAGCGAACGTAGGTTTCGAAGCCAGAGATGTAATTCTGCGGGAGAAAGGGGAGGGTGGCGAGCGCTTTGGAGAGGAGGGTGGAGGACTCGTAGAGATCTTTACACACTATTAGTTACCGCTGACAGTGATGGAGGCGGAAAAAACAAACCATTGACCACATTCCCAGTATTGTTCGCCCTCCTCGCCACGCTCCTCGTCGAAAAGTGCACGCTCCTCACGATATCCCTCGCGTGATCAACAAACTGCTCCACCTCCCTCAGATCCTGCACCGGTTCCAGCTCCTCATGCACCTTTTCCAACAGCGCATCCGCCTTGAGCTTGCTCCTCTCCGCCATCTGATCCAGCTGCAGATCCGGCACGAGGAAAAACTCCCACAGCATCTCGTGCGTCGAAAACGTCGGGTGGGCAAGCAACACCTTCAAAAACCAGTCCATCCTGATTTGTAAATCCTTCAGCACCGCCCTACTCGGCCGTGAAGGGATCTGCGTCGGCGATCTCAGGTCCGCCAGCGAAGGGATCCACGACGCTGGGTTTTCCATCTGCAGCAACTTGGCGAGATGCTCAAAGTCAGCCAGGGACCTCCGACAGGTCGTCACGGCATAGCTATGCTCGTCAACTGGGGCCCCCGACTTGAGCACGAAGCGGATGGTGCCGTCTTCGACAAAGAATGACCTGACCACTCCCGTAGTGCGGGAGTCGGAGCTGCCGTGGGAGAGGGAAAACAGCACAAGATCATCAATCTTATTGCGCAAGTCATCGTCCTTGGCCAACTCCACCGCCGTCAGACCTCGAAGTTCTCTTGCAGCAGTGTCGACTCTTGGGTCGCCAAACAGCGTCCTGACCATATCAAACCGGCCGTATTTACTCGCCAACATCAGCGCTGTGAACCTCTTTTCGTTTGTAGCGTTGACATCCAAATCGCAATGCTGCAGGATCTTGAGTGCCAGTTTTGGTTCGTTGACAATATGAAGAAGGGTGTTCCCCTTCTGATCAACATGGTCGTCAATGTGTAGAGGCTGGCCATCTCCCTGACACTTGGTCGCAATCTCCAGCCCTTCCTCCACCATGGTGTAGTAATTTGGGTTATCGTAGGATCGACACAAAGCAAACAATGGGGTTTGCCCGTTCTTGTCCTTTTGTCTCCAGGGGAGTAACCGGCCGATTCTACCGATTAGAAAGGGTGCGTGGAACAGATAATGCGCTGCGCTCCGCCCCCAGGTGTCCTGACGAGCGAGATACTCCCTGATCTTGTTGTCGTCTCCCGTAGAGTCGAGAATGTAATCAAGAAGTCCGTTGATGACTTCGGCATTGCCCAGCTGCACGGCCGCGCTGAACAACGTTGTTTCTTCGTTGTCCTGGTCCTCCAGAATGACCGGTGCCGTGTAGTACTGCCGAAAAGACAACAAGTATTTCAACACCTGTGGTTGCCCATGTTGAATCGCCATCATCAAAACCGACTCCCCTTTGGCGTCCTGTGTTTGAACCAGGCGCTCAATAGAAGTGTCGCCTTCGATCCCACTTGTGAACGTCCCGATGCTCATGGGCAACGACCGAAACGAAATTTCGGAGCCGCTGGACATACTCCTGGTGTCCATCGACACCTTCTTGATGCGTTTTGGTGGTGGTTGTTCCAGAGTTTCGGCTGATCCATTTTGAAATGGAAACACATGACCGAGCCCAGATCCGACCGAGAACCTCTCTGATGCTGCTAGAGTTGTTGACGAAGCTCCATTCGTGAAGCTCCAACCAGTTGACGATCGCCTCCGCCAGCGTGAAGACCCGTAATCGTCCTCATCTTCGATCGCATCCTCTGTTGGTTCCAAGATCTTCCTCAGCTCCGGCATATCCCCCTTCGAAACAGCATCCCACAAAGCCTTATTCCTACGACTGGCCCTCCTCAGCCCTCCAGACTCCCGGTCGAGATACGATAACACAGCCTCGAAGGTGCTAAGCGCATACCCCATCTCACCACTCTCCACATCATCGATAAAGACGAAATGTCTTATATACGCCAACCTCGCCTGGAGGTGCTTGATCTGCGCCTTGATCACCACATACAGCAACAGCGACACCAGCGTATCCGCATTTATCGTCATAGCCGGCTTCTCCGTCGCCGACCTCGGCTGTCCCTGTGTCGCCGTCCCCTCGCTAAACTGCGTCGCCGCCTTCGTCGTCGCCAGCAAAATCTCCATCATCTCCTGCGGACAACTCGCATTCGGCATCTTCCTAAACTCCTCGACCGCATTCCCCAACCGGCTCACCACCTCCCTCTTGGCCTTCATCCCCCCATCAATCGCAATCCCCAACTGCGAGATGTCAATATTGTTCATCTGCCTTATCTTGGCCTCCAGTTCCAAATCATCCTGCCTCCTCAACCCGGCAATCCTCGGAAACAGCAAATGGTGCACATTCTCGGCAATGTACCGCTCGATCAACCTCTCCACCACCGGCCCCGTCAAGTCCGTCGTCGCCCCCAAGAGCGACAACTGCTGCTTGTCCACATTCTGAAACAAATCAATCGCCGTCGTCACCGCCGTCTCCAACGAAGTCCTCATAACCTCCTCATCATCCTCCGTCAGCACATTCTCCGGCGCCCCATTCCCATTCGTCCCCTCTCCCCCCGCAACCCCGACCCCCTTCCCCGGCTCCCCCTCCGGCACTGTCTTCCCCGACGGCGGCGGCGGAGGCGGCAATATCCTCTCAAAAACAATCGTAAACTCCCTAAAAAGCTTCTCCAGCCCCCCCTGCATCTGCTTAGCAATACTCGGGAAATTAACCAGCAGCTCATGAAAACTCTTGATATCCTTCTTCCTTGTCGTCCCCGTCCCCCCCTCACCCAACAACACCTTCCGTAATCCCCCCTCCGCCAGCGACGGTGACGGTGGTGGTGGTACAGCCGGCACAATCCTAACCTCCTCCCAAGACCCCACCAAAGGCCGGTTAATAAAATAGATCAAAAACTGCCTCGGGTCCAACGTATCCGGGTACCAAAGCGTCTCATGCAGCAAGTTGGCCTGAGCCAGCGCTTTAAACCCCTTGTTGGTGTAAACCCCCCCGTCCTTGACCACCAAACTCCTCCCATTCACCGTCCCGTACATTTTTGGCTTCCCTCTCATCTCCCTTAGATTCTGCTGCTGTCCCTGACCCTGTCCATCCTTCCCCCCTTTCAAAAGCGGTATCCTCACCACATGACTCCCGAGAAACTCCTCCGACCCGATCGACGCCGTCAGCGGCGCCCCTGTTTCTGCGTCTCGCGAGTTGAGGAGCACATCCGCCAGGGGCACCAAGAGAATGTGCTGCTGCGGCGGGAGGCACTGCGCCAGCACCGGGCTCTTGAGGAAGGCGCTCAGGAAGGGGTTTAGGGGTTGCATTCATTCGACTTTTTCCCTCTCCTTCCCCTTTTTCACTGTATGGTGTTGTTGAATTCTGTTGTGTTATAAGCCACCATTGGGCGGTCGACGATGGGTAGCAGTCATGCAACTATTGCTTGGATTCTATGTCGAGGAAGCTCGTAGGTAGTAGACAACGAGAAAAACGCGGTGGTGGTGGTGGTGGTGGTGGTGGTGGGATCAGACGTGACGCAATCCCGCCAAAAGGGAAGCTCGCTCGGCAAAGGTAGGTAGGTGACGGGTTCGTTGGCAGTGTGTGTAGGTACCAAGCTCGAGTGGTACAGCGCGGGGGAAAACGGAGTCGTTTGGGTTGGTTGTCAGAGAAAAGATGTAATGATCGGGATTCGCAGAGTGATTCGCAATGTCGGGTACGGGCGTCGTCAGCTTCGGGCGCATTCCACAAGAACTGTTTGGTTACTTATGTATCTGGGCCGGCGATGCTGGACGAACAGCATGGGATGGATGGATGCCGTGGTGGGTGGAACAGTGGCATCCCTGACGGCTTGGCGCTACGTACAGCAAGCAGCAGGTGGCACCAACCGCAGCGACAGCTCCCGCTCCTTGTGGCCACTCCGGCGATCTCCCGGCAAGCAAACACTCAAGTGGGGGTCACATATCAACACTCGGTCAGTCATGCTGAAGAAGTCAAGATGATCATTTCACACTTTTTTATTGTTTTTTTTATTCTGCTCTTCCATGCTCTGCGCAATTGTTTTCAAGGCAGCAAGGCTGTGTTCCCCCAATTCTTACCACACAATGAAATGATACAGCCGACACTGAATGGCAGCTCTCAGCTCACGCATGTAGCCCCTTTTCAGACTCGCTCCTCTCAGGATCTTGCCTGAGCTTCAGTGACACAATGCCCAGGTATTTTACACGACAGGCTGCTTACTCATTTCTCATAAACTTCATATCATTAATTTTAATGTGAGCTTAGAGCTTAGCTCTTGGCGGCACCGGCCTTGAAGTGCAGGATATCACCGTCCTCGACGATGTAGTCCTTGCCCTTGGTCATGATCTTCCCCTTGGATCTGACCTCGGCTTCGTCACCGAGCTCCTTGAGGTCGGCGTACTTGAAGACGATGGCCTGGATGAAGGTCTTCTCAAAGTCAGTGTGGATAACACCAGCCGCCTGGGGCGCCTTGGTGCCGTTGCGGAGAGTCCACTGGCGAACCTCATCGGGGCCGACAGTGAAGAAGCTGCCGAGATCGAGGGCCTTGCGCATGGTGACAATGAGCTTGGGAAGAGCCGACTGGGCGCCGACCTTCTTCTCCTCCTCAGCAACCTCCTCGTCAGTCTCGAAGCGGGTCAGGCGCTCCTCGAAAGCGACGGAGATGGGGATGATGGGATCACCAGGAGCGTTGTCCTGGATCCACTTGGCAACACCGGGAAGATACTTGTTCTTCTTGCGGATGTAGTCCTTCTCGGAAAGGTTGACAAGGTACACGACAGGCTTGGCCGTCAGGAGGAACAGAGGATTGATGACCTCGATCTGTTGACTCTATTAGCATCAACTTCCCCAAAGAAGATCATGTGTCAAGTTGGAATGTGTGATATCGTTCAGATTTAAAGTTACTCTCAGTATGCCAAAAAGACATTCGACGAGCTGGGTTTAAAGTTCGGGTCACGGACCCTTTATCATCATGGAACCACGGGAAGGAATGGATCAAAAACAAAAAGCAAGCACATACCTCCTTGGGACCCCAGGTGCCCTTGCGGACCTCCTTGCCGTCCCTGAGGTGGGCCAAGATCTTCTCGATCGTGGCCTCCTCCTCCTTCCACTGCTTCATCTGAAGACTCTGACCACCCTGGCGGGTCTTTTTCTTCTGGTTCTCGAGGGCCTTCTCAACGAACTCAATGTCCTTGAGTCTCAGCTCCTCGCTGATGATATCGAGATCACGTGTTGGGTTGACATCACCCTCGACGTGGATAATCTCGGCATCATCGAAGCAACGAACGACCTGGAAGATGGCATCGACGGCGCGAATGTGCGACAAGAAGGCGTTGCCGAGACCGGCTCCTGTTGAGGCACCACGGGTCAAACCAGCGATGTCGTAGACTGTGAGGTTGGCAGGGACGCGCGACTTGGGCTTGTACTTCTCGCAAAGCCAGTCATAGCGCTCATCAGGGACGATGACGCGGGCCTCCTCTGGGTCAATGGTAGCATAGGGGAAGTTCTGCGGCTTGTATCAGCATCGCCAGTCCCTTCAGGATCGAATCCGTTCGATGCGTACTGCAGGGTTACCCAGGTTGCACTTGGTGATGGCCTGGAAGAGCGTGGACTTGCCGACGTTCGCCAACCCGACCTGATAGAAGGGAGAGAAAAGGTTAGCAAGAACTATCTATATGAGCTTAGGGAGGGAGGGAGTGGGGAGAAGGAGGGAAGGAGGGAAAAAAAGAAAAAAAACCCACAATACCACTCTTCAGGTTGTTACCAGGACGGCCCAAGAGGGCCTTCTTCTCCTCGACGGCCTTTTTTGGGGGCATTCTGGCTGGACCTCTTTTTTTGCTGTACTGACGAGTAGAAAGGTAGATGAAAGTGCAATCAAGCACTGGCTTTTTGAAAAATGCAGAGCTAGCTGCGAGGGGTCGAAGGAGGGGTAATGGAGAAGAGAAGAATGAACTGCCAATAAGGGACGCCGTTGTGACTTGCTCGTGGGCCACCCAGGAGTGCCACGAGCCACGCGTAGTTGAGACTTTGGATATAAAAGGAGCCCTGAAAGAGTGAACGACAAGGCTGTGCTCAAGGCAAATTTTTGTTTTGGTTTGTTGGGCTTCCCAGCGATCGCTTGATATTCTGGTCGCCGGTTTTCTTTTTTTCTTCAATTTCTTGAAGTTTTTTGGAGTTTTAAAAGCACCAGCAACGATCAGGGCACCACAGCGCAGAAATTTCAATGAAAATGATCCATCTCAGTGGGGTTAGTCTGGCTCTGGAGAATCGATTGGCCGACCTGGGGAGCTTTTGAGAGCGCTTGGGCCACCTTGGGACCTGACTGTGCGTTCCGGCTCTGACGGGGTGGGGCTAGCCGAGTCGCGAGCGTCAGAGTGGGGTCTTCTGGAAGGATAAGCTGCCCGCGCCCGCCGGATGCGAAAGACATCCATCCATCATCTGCAGCAGCGGGCGGTCACCTGGAAAGTGTTTCTGATGCATCACTCTTCGCACAGCACAATTGCCTTGTGTGTCTTGACTACGATTAGAGCGAAACTATCTCCATCTTCATCATCACAAGCCCACAAACACCTTCGGAATGCACCCCTCACAACCCCGATCCTAGTCGCGGCATCCTCAATATCAGAAATCAGTTTGCGCAGCAGCTCTTTGTTCTGCCATTCCTCACCAACCTAGTGTTGCCTATCGCAACTATCCGGACTTACACTTGCGCAGCCACATTATTGACCTCCACCACCCAAATCTTGCTCGCTTTTCAAACCTAATACCTCTTGAACCATCAAACCCATCCATCCATTCACAGTCACTATCATCAAAACCACCAAAAAATGCCATCCTCAACCCGCCCCCCAGCCCGCCCCTCCCGCCCCTCCCACCGCTCCACCCTCTCCCTCCAAAAAACCGAAATCACCATCCACGTCTACGACCTCTTACCCCCGGGAAAACTCTCCAACACCCTCTGGGCCCTGGGAACCTCCCTCCTCCACTCAGGCGTCGTCCTCAACAACAAAGAATACGCCTACGGCGGTCACGACCGCCCCGGCCTCACAGGCGTCTACTGGACCAAACCCCTCACTCTGCCCCCCGGGGGAACCTTTCGCACCGAGATCCTCCACGGTTTCACCCTGGCCACCGAAGCCGAGATTGACTCCATCATCCGGAGGGCGTCGGAGGAGTTTTTGGGCACGTCGTATAATTTGCTGACCAAGAATTGCAACCATTTCACGAGTTATCTGTGCGAGAAGTTGACGGGGAGGCCGGGGCCGGGGTGGTTGAACAGGGCGGCGAGTATTGGGGTTGCGCTGCCTTGTGTTGTGCCGAGGGAGTGGATTGAGGCGCCGGATTTTGAGACGCATAATAGAGGTGATGGTGGGGGGGGTTTGTTGGAGGGGGAGGAGAGTGGGGATGAGTACTATGGGGAGGGGAGTAGGATGCTGAGGGGGAGTGATGAGGTGCCTAGGTTGGTTGGGCAGGAGGGGAGGAGGGAGGAGGAGGAACACGGGATTACGGTTACCAAGGGGAAGGGGAAGGCGAGGGATGAGGAGGGGAGGGTTTTGCCTAGGGCGGAGAGGGCTCCTACTTCTTGAGTTTGGGTTGCGCAGTCTTGGGTCTTGGGGGTTCTGAGACTACCGAGGCGTATTGTCGATTTCTGGATTTTTGCGCTGAGTTTTGCGTTGAGTTATTGTTTAGCATTGATTCGGGCGTTACTTTGGATGGAAGGATGGGCGTTTAGGGGGTCATTTTATCTTGATACCACGGGACATATTAACCAGGCACCATTTTGGATGGGATGGCGCGCTCAGTTGGATTGAATTACATCTTATTTCTTTTCGTCGTCTGTTTCTATGGTTGGGTTCGAGTTGAACAGAGGTGTGGTGTCGGGAGACTGTGTGTGCTACGCTTCCCACGCGAGACAGACAGAGAGGGCAAGATTGGATATGACACAGCTAATCTCTGTAAGGCTGTTCACCTTTTATACTTTTTTCTCCAACCGTGTGACGTTGGCCAAGTTTTTGTTAGACTGTCTGTTTCACCCTCCCTACCTACCTCGTTGCCAAAAACTCACGGCATTGGTAACCCGACCAAGTTGTCACTCCGATATATATATATATATATATCAACCACCTCCTCACAACCCTCCCCCCTACGAAGCAAGAGCCCCCGCCTCCTCAGCAACCATTGCCATCTTTTTTCCCTCCCTCAACCCCACCCCCTTGATCCTCCCCGCCCTCACATCCTCATTAAACTCCGAAATCTGCATCGAGATCCCCTCCAGTGTGCTCGCCACAGGCGTGTACCCTATCCCCCCCTCCTCCACCCTCCTCCTGGCCTTGCTGTCATCCACCACGGAGTGAATCCCCACATTCAACACCGCAGGCTGGAGCATACTGATCGGCCCCTTTGCCTCTTTCCACCCAAACCACCTCGTCAAAAACGGGGCTCTTGCCAAGAGCAACGACCAGAATTCCATAACGTGGGCGATAGCGTGGATGATGAGGGGCGAAGCCTCAGAGTAAGCGAACTTGGCATCGGAGAGCGTCTCGCATGCTAGGGCCATGTCACGGAAGGTGATGGGTGGTCCGGCGTCTGTTATGACGAACGGTCTCCCTGCACACGCCGGGGGGGCGGTACCAGAGGGAGATGGCAGGAGCGCGGCTTCGAACTGGAGGTGCGCCAACGAGACGTTGCGGGAGTAGACAAATGACTGGATCACCTGGGGAGTAAAGGCGATGTACTCCCCCTCCCGGAGGATGTTCCCAACCAAGGGGTCGGTCTTTTGGCCGTAGATTGCGTTTCCCGGGCGGAGGCAGCCGGTTCGGAAGTTGGCCGTGTTGGCGGAGCAGATTGCCCTCTCGGCTTCGGCTTTGGAGCGGGCGTAGTTGGCGAAGAAGTGGGAGTGGGGGCGGAGGGGGAGGTCAAAGTCGGATTCGTTGCAAAGCTGGAAGTAGCCGGCGGGATGGGACTGCCAGGGCCAGGTTGGGATGAAGCGGGTGGGGGTTATGCTGACTGAACCTGAAGAGGTGGCGATGAAGATGTCGCAGTTGTGGTGCTGCTTTTTGGCTGTGTTGAGGACGATGATGGCGCCGTCGCGGTTGACGCGGCTGACGCGGGAGTAGAGGAGGGGGTGACGTTCTTGGGGGCGGATCACGGCTGCGGTGTGGAAGACCGTGAGGGGGAGGTGGGAGACGGAGGGGGGCCAGGGTTTGGAGAAGGCGGCTTCGACGGAGGGGATGGAGGTGATGTCTGTTTGGACAAAGTCGCAGGCGGAGGTCTTGGGGAGCATGTCGTCTCTGGTGATGGGGGCGAAGTCGAGGATGCGGATGCTGGAGGGGGATTGGCCTCGCTCGAGGAGCTGGAGGACGATGTCACCACCCACAAGGCCTGGGTTAGACTGTTAGCCTTGGTGTGCGATATTTTGAGGTTTTTTTTTTTTTTTTTTGGTGAACTTACCCGAGCCGCCGACGATTATGTATCTTCTCTCTTGAGCGGGGGGCACATGTTTGAGAAAGTTGACGGGGTTTTTCTTGACATTTTCATAGGCTTCCTTCACCTGCTCTTTTGTCCAGCGCTTGGGTGAGAATTTGCGGGCTTCCTCAGGGGTAGATCTCAAGGCCGAGTTGAACCGGTAAAGCCAGAAAACGCCAAGGGCGACCAGAGCCAATATCAACATCGTGAAAGATGGTTTGGAGAGTGTGGTGGAGAGTGTCACAACAGCGAAATGGGCAGAAATTTCGGAGGCTTATCAGGATCAGAGGGGTACCAGGGCTGAAATGCACGTTGGACATCACCGCGAAGGATCGGCTCCCTGCTCCCGAGCTCGGATTGAATTTGTTCGGCAAGGCGGCATCACCGACGACATATTGTCAAAGAAGGCTATGAACTATAATATTCCAACATGTACAATTTTTTGAGAATACCCACAAGCAAAACCTGATCTCTTCAGGGAACTTTGAGAAACCAATCATGATCTGTGTCATCTCATTATGTCCCAGGTCTCGTCGCTGGCACGTTGCGTCCGCGGCCAATAAGGGTTTGGCATATTTTTGTGGCATTATGTAAGCCGACCTTCAGAGGAGCAGGTTGTCCGATGCGAAGGCAGCAGGAGGATGGTTACAGCGGACCGTAGTAACAGCGAGTCAACAAACATGCTGTATGGATAATCCGTTGGGCCGCAACAGACAGACAGACAGAACGCATCATGAACCGGGAGGTTGGTGTTGAATGTTGATATCCCAAGCAACGGCTAGCCACACCGTCTCTTTGTTAAAGATGTGGCTCTGATTCTCTTTGACACCGCACGGAAAGTGTGACGTGGAGAGACATGCTGGAGCGACCATTGTTCCAATTCGCGGCTGTGATTGGCCGAAAAGGCCCCTGTATTCCTGAGCAGGAAAGTGGAGGGCGGGGCCATTTTAGCGTCTTCAATGCTTATCGCGCGTGATCGGTCGGGTCTTGGGTTCTTGGGCTTCTCCATGCCGCTCCGCTGTGCTGGAGAAGAATTTGGAGCTTCAATATCCGAGACTTCCAGGAAGACGCAAGGTCAGAAGTTCATCTCATATTGCTGGGGAGGGATGGTTACCCTCTGTGTCTTTATGCAAGCGCTCAAGCGAAGGGGAAACAAACAAAAAGAACAGACGATAAACAGGGAAATGGTGATGAATCTTGAAAGGTCTGTTACAAGGTACCTTCTACCACACAACCTACCCAATTGATCCACGCCCCCCGGCGGGAGAGCCCGCGAGTTCCTGTGAGCCTGCGTCATTCGGCATTGCGGGCTGAGGGCTCAATTTGCGCTGGCCCGCCGGCGTTTTGGTCTCAGCAAATTCTTCAAGAAAGCGTCCTCTCGGCATTTTGGAGAATTTTTAGATGCTATACTCCGTAGTGTACAGCATGTCATGTCGTGCAAAGAAGAGACCTGGATGCAATGCGGCGATAAACACTGAGTGGCACATGCACAACAAAGCCAATGCACGTCTCCCCCGATCGTCTCTCTACCTTAGCTGTGATGACTGTTCAAGGTGTCAGTGGGTGCCAGGCCAGAGAGCTAGCTGGCAGGCTCCAGGACAACCAGCGCCAGGAACGACGGGAACGGTCAGCGCAGTGAGCTGTCTGCAGTAGCGCCAAGCAACAAAATCGGCTTTTCCCTGCCGCTTCCACACCGGATCGGCCAATCAAGAGCTCACCAGCCACAATTTTCCCACGGCCATCGTGAAGCTCTGGCACCTTCCCGCCTCTGATTTTCCCCAAAGGGTTGCTTCCCGGCGACTCCAGCGCCGAGCTCCAAAACACAGGGCAATCAAACACCATGTTTCGTCCCTTGCTCAAAATGGCGCCTGTTTCCTCCCGATCTTGCTCTCTCTCTCTCTCTCGTGCTCTTCTCTTCACTCTTCCACTTTATTACCAGGTAGTCCATTAAGCTATCCCCATACCACAACGGATACTCCATCACAACAGGAACTAGGAACCCCGCGCTCGTGGCATTACGGCACATTTTCCACCTCCCACGGGTACCCCTGCCACCGACCTCCGGATCCATCCTTGATCGTGCCTTATCTTTGCGACGCCCGCCGCATTCATCTCGCTCGATTTTGTGGAAAGCTTCCTCTCTCTTCTCTCTCCCCCTCTCCGTCACAACAACACAAACCAAAACAAAAACAAGTCCAACCTTCGCCATGCGTCAATCTATCCTCCTCGCCGCCCTCTCCGCGGTCACTGCTGTTGTTTCCCAGAACCAAAACTTCACCATCGACATCACCAAGGTCGAGGCCTCCACAAGATGTATGTCGTACTGAACCTGACCCACTGTTGCATACCGAGTAGAAATGAAACTGACCGTCTGCGACAGCCGGATGGTGCACTGCCCAGTTCAACTCTTGCGGCCTACTCTGCTTCGGCTCCCTCCAAAAGAACGACTGCGAACCTTCTGACCTGACTTACGAATGCCTTTGCTCCAATGGCACCACTCCCGGTCTTGACTATTACGCCAACACCCTCCCTACTGTGAGTCTTTTTGCTTTGACAGGACGAGCCCCGCTTGACTAGCCGCTGACCAACCTGCCCCAGTTCATCTGCGAGGAAGCCTTCAGCCAGTGCACCGCCGAGAGACAAGGTGGCAGCGCTTCCGAGCTGAGGAAGTGCACCACCGACATCAAGGACCACTGCGGTACCCTCGACCCCGATGACGCCACCCCCGGTGGCGGCGGCAGCAACGACGAGGACGAGGACGAGGCTAGCACCACTTCTCCCACCAACACCCAGGGCGCCGCTCAGACCAACCCTCCCGGCACGTCGACTTCTCAGGCTGCCGCTCCTACCAACTTTGGAAGCGGCATTGCTGCCGTTGCTGCCGGTGTTTTTGCTGCTGCTCTTCTTTGAGCGTAATAGTAATACGGGCTACACGGTGGTGAGGAGACGGGTAGTGCTGAGCGGCAGCTTATGGTGGTGAATAATACCGCGTAATGAGAGTCAATACCCTTGGTCTATGCGTCAAGAGTGTGGCGGCGGTCGATCGTGTAATCTTTTGTGGTTCTTGTATTGATTTTCTCTTCCTCTGGACAGAAGAAAGGCTTTGTTTTGATTTTGCATCAGCCGGCCTATAGGGACCTTAATGTTGCATGAGAAGAAGACGAATGATCCGGCTGATGATATGTAACCAGAGTGAGTGAGTGAGAGAGAGAGAGAGAGAGAGAGAGAGAGAGAGAGAGAGAGAGAGAGAGAGAGAGAGAGAGAGAGCTAGAGAGCGAGCACATGAAAGGGAGAAATATATCCATTTGATTTTTAGGCCCCGCGGGCAAAGCGCGCGATTGTCTGGACCCATGTTGTTGTCGATATGTGCACCATGGTTCAAAGGAGTAGTCGACCGAACTGGGATGTGAAAGTAGAGGCGGGCTTTGTTGGTGGGTTGTGGGTAGAGAGGATTTGACAAGAGACTGGTCTATGAAAGGGGGGAGGGGGATCTTTGTTGCCACTGGTGACCGGAAAGGGGGATCACATATCAGCCTACAACCGCCCATTTTCCACAACCCTCAGGAAGCTTGGGAACGCTTGCCGTTCACCACCACCATCCCAGACTCAAGCAAACCACTTTTGTTTTATTGCCTGGAAGGGATTTCCACACCGATATCATTTATCGACATTTTATACGTGAGTTCTCCTTACTTACGCCATGTCGTTCCCCGTCATAGATTGCAACGATCGGAACTTGTTCGGGTACGCTCTCTACCTCGCGAGCAACCGCTCGACCCAAACGTGACCCTAGGCTTGGATCCCAGGGATGGCCGCATGTTTAGAATATACCGACCCTGGCGGCCGCCCCTCCTCCCCGCGCGCGACCCCGGGCAGGCTTATTACCATGACAAGGTCCCCGACTGGATCGCGCGCATCCATGCGCTCGACCAAACCGGCTTTGACGGGATGAGACGGACGCTGCCGCCCGAGTTGAGTTTTCAGATTGCGAACGAGACGATGAAGATGGATAAGTGCCTGCTTGATCGCCTCCGCGCCCGGGTTGAGATTTGCTCGCCGGGGGAGGATCGGGTGGTGCAGGAGCAGTTGAGGGTGAAGAGGGTGGATGCTTACGTTGTGCCGGAGCATACTGAGATGAGGAGGGTGGCGACTGACTATGAGCATGACAAGTACGACGGGGAGAAGGATTGTCCTGTGGCTAGGGGGTCGGGGAGGTTGCTGAGGGCGGGGTGGGATCATGGGGAGGGGGGATCATATAATGGGGTTGTGGTTTGCGGAGGATCCGAGGTTGGTGGTGCCGTTTGGGGAGGGGAGGGATGCGGCGGCGGTGGAGTGGGTGAGGCCGGCGAATTTGAGGGACAAGGGGGAGTTGGAGCAGTCTTTTGACGGGTGGGTGAGCCGTTTAGGAGAAGGAGGCTGATCCCCTCAAGCCGACCCGGTGGCCGGGAGGAGACACATATCGGGATTGGGATAAATCGGTGTACCGGGCGTACATGTACAGGCGAATCCGGCGGCTGATGATCAACAACAAATCTGCACTGGGACGCGAAGGGACTGGGGGATTTGTTTGGGCTTCACTGGCTCAACGATGTGAAAGCTTCCAGGTGGTATCTAGACAACCCCGACCACAAGACCCTTTTCAACAACCGCATAAGGGAACTAGCATTGTGGATCGCCAAGGAGAAGGCGAATCAGTCCAAGATTGAGTGGGACGACATGCAGAACCTGGAGGACGTCTATCTGGACTGGAGAGGCCTGTTTGCGCCGACCAACCACCCGAGCGACCCGATAGAAGATGTGGAAGAGACGTGGGGTTACCTCGATATGCATTTTGTGGCCAAGATTGCAAAGGCGACGAGGGGGAAGAAGCTGAGGAGGCTGGTGATTGCAGGTCTGAAGAGCTACGTCGGCCCGCAGGGCTACAATGCCTGTGGCTTGAGGAAGCTTTTTCAACTCGGATCATAAACTGGTGGAGGATGTTTGTGACGGCGGTGAGGCCGGGGGGGTAGCTGATATTTGTGGATAGGGAGTATGATGACCCTGCCAGGGAAGTCCAAGACGACCCGCGGTGGGTTAACGATACTATAGACGAGGTCCTACTCGGAAGTGGTCTTTCGTGGTGGAATTTCCACGAGGTTCCAGGTCAAACCCGACTACATGCGCGATGATTGGGACGACCGCTGAGGTGGCAGCGGAAGGGTAGAGGGCATCGGATGTGAGCTGACGGGGGGGTTCCCAGGGGAGTTTTGTGTTGTATCTGTGTATTGTTTTTTTTTTTTTCGCTGTAGATTTTTATACAACTGGAACGGCTTCTTTGATGTGGATGTGGATACTTGTGTTGTGTGTCACTCTGAGGATGGATGGCCGAGAGACTCCATACTAACAGACTAGCCAGGTACTTGGTCCTCTTGACAACACACCTTTCCTGCAGCCCTTCTCGGTTGATTGGCTGCTGACAAACGACACCGCTGCAGTGGTCTGCAGTGTTCACCGTCTATTGGATCGGATGCCACCGAGCCTTGCTCTCCACCATCCGAACAATTCCCAATCTGGGGCTTTCAAAAGGTAAGGCATCCATCTTTCTTCGTGAAGAAAAATCAAATACTGTATGTATGTCTTGTCCCCCCCTCCCTCCCCGTCCTCGTGGCTTGACGGCTTGACGCTTGATTATGCAGCTTGTGTTTCTCCCATACAAATATTGACATCTCGTTGCTAGGAAATGACACGGCTGCCTGGGTACTGTTCTTCATGATGGCCACTCACAGCCTTGCCACCACCACCATCATTATCATTATCACTCACACCACCACCGCCAACTTTTGACAGCAGCTCTTCTGAAGAGCGGCTGTTCACAACAATCACTTTTCATCAACCACATCATTTTTACCTTCTTTTTTCATCACCTTTTTACCAACCACTCCACTTCTCATTCCCACTTATACATCTTCTCTCACACTTATTCATCACCCAACCCTCCAAAAATGCCCGAAGAGCAAAACCCCCCCCTCGAGCTCCGCGGCGGCAGAAGCAGAAGCAACTCAACCCCCGCCGGCTTTTTATCTCGCTTCTTCCGCCCCCATCAACAACAACAACAACAACAACAACAACCTTCCTCCTCCTCACACCACCATCACCGATCTCGCCGCTCCCACCATCAAGACCCCTCCCCCCCACCATCATCATCCTCCCACAACCACCACCCATCTTCCAAACCAAAACATAAATACCCCCCCAACCCCAACCCCTCCACAGACCACGTCTACGACATCCCCCTCAACAAAAAGCCCTCTCCTCGCCACCGCAACCCCTTCTTCCGCCCCCGCCCCCCCAAACCCAAGCACAAAAAATCCCCCTCCAGCAACATCGGCACCCCCCCAGGAAAGAAACGCTCCCTCTCCAAAGCCGGCTCAAGAATCTCCACCTCCACCAAACCAGCCAAAACCCGTCTAACCCTAGACCTCAAACCCCTCCTCGACTCCAACCCCTCCTTCCTCAAGCTCTCCTTCCAGTTCCGGTCTTCTTCCGGTGGGTTGGCAGTCGACCGAGTAGAGCGGTTCATCCGAGACGAACTCAAGTCTGAGAAACAAGCCGTGGTCAAATTATTCACCTCCTCGGGAAAACAACTAGAAACCGGCGCCCAAATCCCGTCTTCACGTGGCAGGTCGTCACGGGTGACGGTTTGGTACCGACTCGTGGATGACAACAACAACAACAACAACAACAACACCCCCCCAACAACAAAATGGGAGTTTTCCATTTGCATCAACAACACCCAAAAGATGGAACTCAACAAACTCATTGAAGAGGACGGCGCAACAGTGGGGGAGGTGAGGAGACAAATAGCGGGTTACCTTGGGATTAAAGAGCCAAGAAGGATAAGGCTGTACGCCGACGATGGGATGTTTCACGGGTTCCTCCAGGGGGAGGGGTGGGTGTTGCGGGAGTTGGGGAAGAGGTGGCTGACGAGGTATCTGGCGGTTCATGTCCGGCACAGGGAGGGTTGGGTGGAGGTGAGGCTGAAGGGGTGGGGGAATGAGAGGGCGGGAAGGAGGTATGTTGTTCATCCGGGGAGTGGGGAGGGGAAGTGGACTGTGAGGGATTTGAAAGCAAATTTTGTGACGGGGGGGTTGGTTAACGTCACTGAGGGGAGGGGGAGGAGTCGGTTGTCGAGGAAGGGGTTGTTGGGATCGGGGGGGTTGAGGGTGAGGTTTGATGGGAGGAGGGTGGGGGAGACCGAAGGGGTGGTTTGGGGTGGGGTTTACGAGGTTGAGTTTGGGGGGGTGGAAGAAGCAGAAGTTTTTGCTGGGGAGGAGGGGTGGTTGTTGAGGGAGACGGAGAGCTGCGATGTTTGTGTTGAGGGGAGGAGGGTGACGGATTTCCCGGTTAGGGTTGTTGCTGGGGGGTGTAAAGGGCATAAGCCGCCGCTTTGCGAGGAGTGTTTGGGCCGGTGGTTGGTGGAGAGTATGGAGGCGGGGAGGTGGAAGAGGCTGAAGTGTCCAGACACGGACTGCTCAGCTGTCCTGGGACATCACGATGTCAAGCGGTACGCGACAAGAGAGGTTTTTGAGCGGTATGACCGGTGGTTGCTGAGGGATGCACTGGAGCAGACGAAGGGGTATGTCCAGTGCGTCACTGTGGGCTGTGAGTATGGTTGTGTGGTTGGGGATCAGGAGGCGTGTCCTACCTTTAACTGCAGGAAGTGCAAGGGCAGCCACTGTATCAAGCACAACGTCTCCCATCCCGAGGAAACATGCAAGCAATACCGAAGGAGACAAAAAGATAAAAAAGAACAGGAGGAAGCCTCGGAAAGGGAAGTGGCCGGGATGACCAAGGATTGCCCCAAATGCGGGAGGAGAGTAAGCAAAACGGCTGGGTGTAATCACATAACCTGTAGGTTCTCTTCTCTCTTCAGCCACGAGAATAATAGAAACTGACTGGTATTTTTTCCCCCCCCCAGGCCACTGCGGTCACGAATGGTGCTATGTCTGCACCGCCTCTTACTTTCACGCCCAGGGCACCGGTCTTCTCCTCTGCCGTCACAACGAAGGCTGCACCGAAGGCCCTCTCCCCGGCGCCGAGCTCTTCAATGATGATGGCACCCTTCGAGATCCAACCGGGCAGCGACTTCCACATCGTCCGTTCTTTCACCGGCCGGTCATTCCTGCCGATATCCCAGGTGTTGCTCCACAGGGTGTGCCTGGCATGCCTGGAGCAGCGTGGCTCTTTCCTCATCTTCAGAGACGTAACAGGCAGCCTGAAGCACCAGTTGCTCCCGCACCCGCTGCCCCGGAGGAGCCACCCGCGCCTGCACCGGAACCCGGAGACAGAGACCCGCCCATGATGACGGGGGCAAATCCGGGGTTGGTGAGGGGAACTCCTCCTCCGTGGGCGCCGGGGATGGCCGGAGCGAGGCCGAGGATGAGAGGTACTGGAGCGGAGGCGGCGAGACGAGCAAGGGGGTTGGGCTTTCATGTTTAGTTGAGATGCTGAGGGAGATGCCTGCTTACGACTTCATGAGCTTTACACCACGATCTTTCTTTTCCTTTGTCTGGGCCTTGGAGTTTCGCATTCTACGGATGACGACACATATATAAGAGGCATTCGCGCTCACAGCTGCTGGAGGGGGTTGGGTTATGGTTAGAAGGATTGGGTATATACATACATGGATGGGAAATTGGGTATTTGGCGACTCTCTGGGATTTTACATACCTGCTCTCTATTTATTTTGTGTTTTGATGTCATCTTTTCTTCCTACTGTCCCCAAACACCGGCATGCAGAAAGCAGTTTTCTCGTCCGATTCTGAGTCAAACCTGCGGCTCTGTGGCAGTGACACAAAAACCAGAGACAATAACAAAAACTCCGTAATCATCTGGATGTAACAAGCTCTTGTACACACCGAGCTTTGATAGCTGTGTGGGTCGGAAGTTCCAAACCACATCCAAAGAAAACAACGTTTCGACGATCAAACTTGTTTACCCGCCCTCGCCTCCAGAGGTTCTTCTTCAGCAACGTGGCCGAGCGGCTGGGTCCGTCCCCGTTCAGGCCATTGTCAGAGGCCCGAAAGTTTTTTCTTTTCTTCTTTTTTTTCTTCTTTTTTTCTTCTTTTTTTTCTTCTTTTTTTTCTTCTTTTTTTTCTTCTTTTTTTTCTTCTTTTTTTTCTTCTTTTTTTTTCTCTTTTTTTCTCTCCTTTTTCTCCCTTTTTTTTCTCTTTTTTTCTCTTTTTTTTCTTTTTTTCTTTTTGCAGTTGCAGCTGCAGTTGCAGTTGCAGTGGAATTCTTGATGTTGTCATTCTGTCGCACACAGCACACACACACACACATCGGTGTCCGTCCGCCTGTTTCTCCGAGTCTTTGCATTACCGCCCGTTGAACCGAACACCGCAGGTTTGAACCGGCATTGGGACGAGAGGAGACAAATATTTCTTCTCCGACAGAGTATCACCGGCGCCATGATGGTGCGATGCAAGGCACGGCATAGGTAGGTGATGTCGTGCATCGATGAGGCCAAGCGGGCTGAGTGGTCGGCCGTTTTTTCCCCGCAAAGGAAGGGTCTGATCTGGTCTGTGTTTAGGGCCAAGGGGGAAGGTCTTTGGCTCCGCAGACGCGAAATTGCAGATTCACATTCAGCGTGACGCTGGTGATTGGGGGGGGGGGGGTATAAGATGCAGATGTTGACGGCATTCTCTTGAATACCCACGAAGAATTGTTCCGAAGCGCCCGAAGAAAAGAATGGGATCATAGGCAGGACGTGGCAGGCTGATGGGCTGGCGGCGGTTAGGAAGGAAGGAGCTGGGAAGAAAGGAAGGAAGGACCTGGGAAGAAAGGAAGGAAGCACCAGCCTTGAGGCAATCGCGAGTTCATGTCTCATTCGTCAATGCACCGTGTGGAGATTTGGATTTGATATTCCCTGTTTGCTTCATTGGTTGGCTGGATTCATCACGAACTGCTGGCCTTACTCGACGGGATGTCCCCTGAGTTTAGGGAAAAGCCAATAGGTGATGGGAAGGCTTCTCCTTGTTCTTTCTACATCAGTTCCCTTTTATTGAATATTCTGCAGCGACACAAACCGTACCTGCATCTCGGCTGCGCAGGGTACACGGGGGATAAGAAGATAATGGGGCGGCATTGGCGCCGCGATTGGGGAGCATCGGGGGGAGGGGGGGGACGTGCACCACCTGAGCTGCAAGGAACAAAACGCTCTTGCCTGCTTCTGGACCGTGATTGGGGGCGCCCGAGGTGAGTTGTGCCAGGGATCCCGGTCCTGTAGGCGAACGGTTGGCATGGAAGGGGGCCCCACAGCACAGTACAGCGGAAGGGATGTCCCAAAGCAGCCGGGCGCCAATTCGCCAATTTGTGATGCTCCTTTTTCTCATGACCTTTCCTCGCTGTCACTTCCAGTCCCTCGACATTTCCCAGTTAATTGCGACTCTCCCCCTAGAGCCAATCCAGGTCAGGCCAAGCCAAGCATGAAGATTGGACCCCCCCAAGTGCCGATTCTCTAGTCGAATCCGCCGTTGCACTCTTGCGTTGCAAATCGATTCCAAACTCATCTTATGTATACCACCATGGCTGCTCCCAACGCACATCGCTTCTTCTTTGAAGAAGGGGTTCACACACCAACTACCTTCTCCCACCCTCCCCCTCAGTCACCCGAGCCTGAGCGTCACGAGCATAGGCGGCTCTCTGACACGTCAAGTGCTTCATCCAGAGTCCAGTCACCACGCTCGGCCATCTCGCCTCCTGGACCGAGCGAGACATCGGACCAACAGCTACCCAAGCAGCCACTCCCGAGTCCTCGCGGCGGCCGGTCCCTCAGCTTGGCCCAGATAGCCGGCCCCATCAAGAGGAAGCCTCTGTCCCTGACGGCCTCGCCTTTGGCCACTCGGTACTCGTCCCCGCGTCTGCCCGAGCTCTATGAGGACCTCCAACGCCCGGAGCAGAGGTTCGCCAGGTCCGTCTCGCTCGACAGCCCAACGCTGTATGAGTTTCCAGGCCAGAGCAACCTCCTAGCATCCAGCTCGCTGCGGGTTGTGGAACGCGCCCCAAGCCTGGACAGCAGCCGCCACCTGTATGTCGTGATTCGTCGTCACTTTATTCCGGGTAAAGTGGTGGCAATATGGAACTGACCAGGTTTTCTCTCACAGATCATCTCCTACCGCCCAAGAGGACGGTGCGGAAGAAGACGTACAGCTACGAAACATTGTTGAAAGGAACCCTGCCGCCTCTCAAACACCACACGCACACGAACCAAGCGGCCGCCTTAGCGCTAGGACGGTCAGTGTAGCCAGTCAGGAATCAGATTACGACCAGTTCGAATACACCCACCTCTACTCTCCGGGTCCGGAGCAAGAGGCCGAGGGCAAACCCGCCACACACGTTAATACCAACACCAAGACCATGTCCTTCATCTCACGAAAACAACCACCACCACACCTGGACCTCGGATCACCCATTGAAAGTGTGCCAGAGTCACCCGTCAGGACTGCCAGAGACAGTAATCTTAACAAGCCGCTACCGAAATCGCCAGCGTCCTCTAAGCTGGGCGCCTTCTTCGGCTGGGCCGCTTCACCGTCACGCTCCTCGGTAACAGAGTTCTCGGACGACAGAGCATTGTCACCCGCCTCTCAGAATCCAGTGACTGTCGTGACAGAGTCTGAGCCTTATGACGTCCCACTGTCACCAAAGAGCCCATCCGCCTACTCCAATGACGACCTGCACAGCCCCGCCGTGCAGTATTGTGAATCTTACCTACAAACACCCGCAGACAGCACGACATCGCTGGTTCAGATCGAAGAGATGGAAGACGAGTTGAAGGCCATCGGCGCCGAACTGGCCGCATCCATTCGGCGAGAGATGGATCTGGAGGACCTCGTTGACAGGATGCAGGAGCAGGTCAACAGTGCCCAGGTGCCGGGCAGAAGAACGAGCGACTATTTCTCAGACTCTGGCTACAGCTCGGCCAGGTTTAGCGAATATGACCACGCCAAGGAAGAGGTGTCGCAAGTACAGCGCAGGGCCGAACAGGAGAGAGCCCAGCTCAGACTGGAGCTCACCACCAAGCTCCAAGAGGAGCGCACCATGCGACGGCTGTTGGATCAGCAAATACAGGAATTGCAACAAAAGGCATCCGAGGTTGATGTCGCCCAGCTGGGCAATGCTGAGGCGAGCGACAGGGTCAAGGAGCTGGAGGCTACATGCGAGGATTTGACTCGTCGGCTTGCCGAGGAGCAGGAGTCCAAGAGCAACTTTGAGGACCTGCTTGCGGCGCTCAAGAGCGAGCTTCAAACGGCGTCAAACGAGCGGGACAACCTACGCGATGAAATCGTTCCTCAGTTGCGCATGCGTGTCGAGGGGTTGGAGGCCGAGGCTGCCGAAAACGCCAGACTTGCCTACGACACGTCCAAGATGCAGCAGGAGCTTGAGACTCTGAGGTCGCAGACGGCCGAGACGTCCAAGATGCAGCAAGAGATTGAGTCCCTTCGGTCACGGGATGCCGACACTTCCAGACTGCAGCAGGAGATTGAGATTCTCAGGTCGCAAACTGCCGATGCTTCTCAGATGCAGCGGGAGATTGAGGCTCTCCGGTCACTCAACTCGGAAACCTCCAAAATGCAGCAGGAGCTCGAGGCTCTGCGGTCCCAAAATGCCGAGCTCAAGCAGACCGGCACTCGCATGTCTATGGCCCTGTCAAGGTCGGCATCGGTCACTGCCGGGTCTCTCAAGAACAAGAACCGCCCCGTGTCTCTCTCCCGGTCCAACAGCACGCGACCTGGTCCTGCGTCTACCGAGCCAAGAGAGGTCCTTGCCGACAGGTTGAAGGACGTCGAGGCTCAGCGTGATGCGCTGCACAGTGCGCTCAGGAGCTTGCTTGAAAGACAGGAGCTCCAGAACCGCGAGAACGCCAAACGGATTCGCCAGCTGGAGATGGAACGGGACCGGTTGCTCACGGCTTCCCCCAAGAAGGCTGGCTATGAAAGAGACGTCTCGAACCTTCGCGAGGAGATTAATGTGCTGCGTCGCCGGGCAGAAGAGGCTATCGAGCAAAAGTGGCAGGTGGAAAAGGGGCTGGGTGGGCTCAAGATGGATCTCGACCGCGCCGAAGAGGAAATCGCCACGCTTCGGATCTTGCTGAGGGAGAATGACATTTTGGTTCCGGAATCTCTGCTCCGTGCCAGCGGCAGCCACGAGGAGCGAGTCGCGCCTGTCACGTCGGCTTCTCTTGAAAAGGCGTATAAGGGCCTGCAAGATGCGTATGCCGAGGCGTTGGAGAGAATCAAGCAGCTGGAGGAGTCGGCCGGCTCGGATGAAAGGATGCAGCTTGCTATTCAGAGGCTGGAGCAGTCGCTTTCGACGGCCGTGTCGGAGCGTGAGGATGCCCGCTCGGAGGCGAGCTCTTTCAAGACTCGGCTCGAGAATATGCAAGCCTCGGAAAAGCAGCAGTTTGCCGTGGAGCAGGATCTTGCTGATCAGCTGCAAGAGTCTGCCCGTCGGGTGGAGGAGCTTGCCCAGCAGGTGCGCTCCCAGCTTGATGTCAATGCTGCTCTGCGCTCCCGTTTGGCCACCACCATTGCCCGTGGTGAGGCTGAGCAGAGACTGAGCACCGAGCGCATTGCCGGCATGCAAAGCCGCCTTCGTGCGCTCGAGGAGCAGGTCGTCCACGCCCAGACGGGCGCTGAAGAGCGGGTGGCCCGCCACGAGGAAGAGCTGGCCATGCTCAAGGACGCCCACAGCCACCAGCTCCAGCGCATTCGCGACAATGCTGGCATTCTCCGCAGCCCACGACACTTTCCCTCCAAGTCGCCGCTGTCGCCCATGTTTAGCCTCCGCAGCGTGTCCTCGCCCAACAACCTCAAGTCACCCCGCATGTCGACGCCTCTTCTCTCGCCTTATGGCACCGCCCGGCCAGACATCAGGCGGTCTGCCAACTCGCTGGATGGCAGCGACGGCACCATGACGCAGCAGGTTGAGGTGCTCAAGGGGCGCGTGGCCGAGCTGGAGGGTGCCCTTGCTGCGGCGGATGCCGAGATGCAAGAGGTTGTGGGGAGGATGAACATTGCGCAGATTGAGGTGATGAACCTGCAGGAGCAGAGGGAGGAGGCGGTGAGGGAGACGAGGAGGCTGCAGAGGGTGATTGAGGAGGAGAGGATGAGGGTTTTTGAGGAGAGGTTTAGGGGGTTGTCTACCGAGGTGAGGTGAGCCCCCTGACCACGCCCTAATGGTTTGAACGAGGACACACACACACACACACACACACACAACATGTTGGATCGTGTTATGGTTTTTTTGTTGTTGTTTTTTTTTGGGAAGCCATGTTTGGATGAATGCATTTGCCATTGCAGGGATTTTTGCAATTGGAAAACGGCGCAACACCACGCTTTTTTGGAGCATGTCCCTTTTCTGCTTTGAAAGCATAGGTAAGGGGACAGGAGGTTGTCTTTTGGATTATTATTGAAGCCAAGTTTTTCTTTTCTTTTTCTGTTTCTGACATTCTTGATGGACATACCCTGGGTTTGTTTTGCAAGGGGGTTTTGGGGTTTATTGTTCTTGTATACTTGCTCTTTTTGGGGAGGGTTGTTGTTCGATTCTCGGTGCCATTTTTATCGGGGTAGAGTGGATTGGATTTGGTTATTATAGGAGGGAAGAAGGGGGTTAAATAACATAGTGTATACTGTATTACCATTTAGTTTAGTTGTTGTTGGGTGGATGGGTGGAATGGGATTGGGCAAAACTTCCGAGCA